AAACAAACATGACAAGGGAAAAATACTAGAAATAAAACTACACATGAAATTAGTCCAAGGCCTAACTGAGGAAAAAGGAATTTAACAGTAAAAAGATAACGTACTTATTTACCTAGAGACCAAGGGCAAACTTATAATTCTGCATTTTCTTCAATATTCTCTTCTGTGCTTTTTAGAAAGTCAAGACACAAATTACTTATCTCCAGTCTTCTGGATAGCTTCCTATGTGTATCACTTTCCTAGATTGACAGTGGTTCAGACTTAATGTCAAATTCTGCAAATTCCTATAGCCTTCTGAGTTGTAATTCATCAAAGCCAAGGAAAAATCCAGTGAAATCATATGTCCTTTTAGTATTTCATCATATTGGGTTCATTTTCACAATGAGAGTTTTACAAAATACACAGCAAATAAATAGGAGTTGCTTAGGGAGTGCTAACACTCATTCCTTGTTATTACTGCTTAACTGAAAACAAGTAAATAAATTTCCTTTACTACTTTTCGGGAACTTTTTGCCCTTCTAAAATTTAGTCTCCTGACACTATTTTTTTTTATAGTTTGTAGTCTTCTTTCATATTTATTACTGTATATTCCTTTTCCCACATTAGTACATTTAAGTGCTGAGGTTCATGAAAAACAAACAAACAAAAAAACAAAAAAAAATCAGCATTCGAGTTGAGCCCTGAAGAATAAGTAGCATTTCCACAGCAAGAGACCAGGGCTGAGTGGGGGAGAAGAGAAAGTATTTTAGTCCTAAGAAAAAGCACAAGCAGAAATGGGCAAACGTGAGAAGGGTATGTGTAAAGACACACTGTGTTAGTTTCAGTAGAGGGAGGAGGGAAAGGAAGATAAGAGGGAAGAAAGCTAACAGCTACTGAGCACTTATGATTGCGCAGGTGCTTATACTCATTATTTCATTTGCTTGTTAACTTAAAACAATCATTTGAAGTAGGTATTAGTTTCTGTATTTTTTTTTTTTTTTTTGAGACAGAGTCTCACTCTGTTGCCCAGGCTGGAGTGTAGTGGCACGATCTCAGCTCACTGCAACCTCTGCCTGCCGGGTTCAGGGAATTCTCTGCCTCAGCCTCCCAAGTAGCTGGAATTACAGGTGCCTTCCATCACACCTGGCTAATTTTTGTATTTTTAGTACAGACGGGGTTTCACCATCTTCGCTAGGCTGCTCCTGAACTCTTGACCTCCTGACCCACCCGTCTCGGCCTCCCAAAGTGCTGGGATTACAGGTGTGCACCATCACGCCTGGCCAGTTCCTGCATTTTATAAGGTGACTGAAGATAATGTAACTCAGAAAGGTGAAGTAACCTGTCCAAAATGAGCAAGGGAAAAGCAGAGCCAGATTTGAACTTAGGTGTTTTCCATTTTTCTCACTGGGTCATTCAACTACAGCTTTAAATTCTTATGTTTGGCCATATTCTATCCTATTTAAGTAAGAAACACTGTTGCTATCAGAAATGCTCCCAGCTATTCAAAGCAAGGCTTGAATACAGTCTATTTTGTTACTATGAAAATCCATATACATAAATATTAAATAATAGAACCTAATATAGATCCCAAACACGAAAGGTTATTTTGTTACTGTAACTTACTAAACTGACTTAAATCTAATAAAAATACTATTTCTTCATAGCAGTCAGGTAACAATAGAAAACATATTTCACTAGTCTTGCATAAAAAATATGCCTTAAATGCAAACTGTGGATTTATACTTTATCTGTTAAGGCTTCCAGCAAGTGGTGCAGACAGAGCCTACGATTCCGTTCTCCATGTAAAATAAGTTACAGGTTTCATAACTCTAGTTATCTGGCAACTCTCAGTTCTTCCAAGTTTACTGTGGATAGCAGATTGAATATAGTCAGAAGGCCCCAACAAATAAATGGGCAATGGACAATTCACAAAATATAAACAGTATCTGGCTAACAAATGTAGTTAAAATATTCCTGCTCCACTAGAAGTCAAGGAAATATACAAGGGTTAACCTACCAAATTCAGGAAAAAGTGCTAGAATTCAAACAAAGGTAATGCAGTAACATGCAAAACATCATTGGTCAAGTATTGTCTGGTCCTACATACTATATAGTCTGCAACGCTGGTTCTCTGTCATTTGCTATTTTAATGAAGCATTGTACACTTTACAGAAGAGCTTTAAAGTTTTATGATGTGTAATTCTAAATGTAGAAACAAAGTCTTCTGCACAAATTAGAGAAAACTTAAACGTCCAACAATAGGAAAATGGTTAAAAAAATGATAGGTAATCTACCCAATGGATCATTATGCAGCCACAAAAATTCCACTTAGCACAGTCAATAACACGAAAAACCCACCTGTTATGTTGCTAAATGAAATGGCAAAGTACAAAGACATCATATGAAAAAAGTGACTACAAAATTCAAAAACATGCATTAACTTAAAAAAATCTATGTGGTAAGAATGAGAGAGAGAGAGAGACAGAGAAAGAGACAGACACGGACACTATTCACCAAAATGTTTTGTACTGGTAAATTTTTAAAATTCAACTTTACCATAGTCTTCAAATTTTTATATATGAGATATATTTCAAAATGTGTAACTTTTATAATGAAGTAGAGGACAAGAAATGCCATGTACAGCCACACTGTAGTCTGGGGTTATTTAGTGCAGGGACAAACATCCCTAAATACAGCTTTTTGGGCCCTAGTAGTATCATCGCATTAGAGCACAGCAAAATTCTTGCCCATTAATCTACATTCATAATAACCTAGAATAACTAAAAGTGTTTTATGGATAGTAAACTGTTAAATAGAGAAACATATAAGAGGTTGTAAAAAGATCTCTATCAAACCAGTATCAACACAGTATTTCATTAATAAATATAAATCTTCCTGACACACTTGCATCATGTCATTCCCTGCCCCCAAACTCTGAAAGAGACCCCAGTGTCAGGAGTAATTTGAACAATTTTCTAAAGTGTGCACGCATTGCACAATCTCGTCCCATTCTAATGATTCTCCCCACTCATATCCATGGGATCAAAGGCTCTCATTCACAAGCCTTGCGCTCAGGCTGGCCTACTCACTTTGTCTCAAAGAAACTTTATGTACTTTTGCTCAATCAGCCACCCACACCTTGATTTCCCTATTCCTTCCTACTCCTCCCTCAGCTGACTCCCCATACTCCCAGGCACAGACTGCCCTCTTTAACCCACAAGCCATCCTATACACACATAAACACATACATATACATATACCTCATTAAGTTATTGTCTATAAAACACACCAAGCACTTAGCCATATAGCCTAAAATTATGTAAATAAATATATGTATTATCTCCATAACACATCTGAATTTCCAAAGATTAGGGAACTTTGCTATATTTCTTTGTATAAAACATTGCTTTTATGTAATACTTTATAGCTTACAATGCAACTTCACATACATGATTTTCAATAAATACCTTAGTGACTTAAACTTCTCAGAGTTCATCCTAGAAAGATCTGGGATAAAGATATTATTCCTGCCTACAACCCTCAAATAAAATTAGTTAATGATAGTATTAACAATTACTTCATACTGAAGATATCCCCAAGTGAATATAAAGAAATGACCAAAGTCTGTCTCTGAATGTGTGGATTTTAAATTTGGAGCCATATGGTATTCAAAGAATAAAAGCTAAAAAATGGCTATTTAAAAAAAAAAAGGATACTTCGGTAAGACAACTTATCAAAAGAACATTTAAAATAAAAAATATTTTCAATTTAACATGGTAATCTACAATCAAAAATGACAGGTTGAACTTTTATTTTAAGTCTTATTTTCTTTGTTAAGTAGACAGATATTTTCATTAAACCTACAAACTGAAAGCTCTTAAGATTTTTCTGAAACTTTTACAATAAGTAAAATTAAGGTAGCCTAAACTATTTCAGAATGTAAAGTCACAGTAAACACAACTCCCTGGTGTTGATCTTCATTGCCATATACTGTTAAAAAGTACATGACCAAAAAAGTCCTCTGACCAAAACTAAACCAAACACTTTCCAAAAAAACCAGAAATCTAGTACAAATGAATTAATTCAGACTGAGCAGTTTAAATACAGTATTTCAGCTATAGTTTGGACTGTGTTTGATCACTGTGTTATAGAAAAAGGCCTTTACCCACATTTTAAAATAGGTACAGTATATTACATATACATTATATATAGAGAGAGAGACAGAGAGAGAGACAGAGTCTTGCCCAGGCTGAAGTGCAGTGGTAAGATCTCGGCTCACTGTAACCTCCACCTCCCAGGTTCAAGCCATTCTCCTGCCTGAGCTTCCTGAGTAGCTGGGATTATAAGCATGTGCTACTAGGCCCCGCTACTTTTTGTATTTTTAGTAGAGATGGGGACTTGCCATATTGGCCAGGCTGGTCTCGAACTGCTGACCTCAAGTGATCCCTCCACCTCAGACTCCCAAAGTGCTGCGATTACAGGCATGAGCCACTGCACCTGGCCACATTACATATATTAATGAAAATTAAAAACATGGGTTTTCTTAGGTAAAATAGTAATGTTGATAAATTCTACCTTATGCCACATCTCAGGTTTGAATTATGATGTCATTAATTACCTATACAGTGTCTTTAATATTAAACTAAAAGTATAACTTCAAATCTTACAATATCATCAAGGACTTATCCATCCAATTCAATGAACTGACCTAAGTATTTTTCATAATTGTATTTTTATGTTAATAGCCAATCACTTCCCCCTTTCCAACAGTTCACACTTATTCTATATAGTAAGCTTTCAAAATGACAAATTTTTTTCCACCCAAGTATTCTACAGACCTCAAAAAGGCAGACTACAGGGAAAACAACGAGAAATGAAAGAAATCTCTTGCTACCCTCACATCTACCAAGCTATACTTAAGAGCCAATTCTAAGTTCAGAAAAAAAAAAAGAAAAAAGAAAAAAGAAAAAGTGGGAATATAAAAACCTCTTAAAATGTAGAAGAAATTAGACTAGTTTAGTTTTAATATCTTCTTTAATAAGACATTACAGCACACAACTGAGCCCCCAGTGTGTCAGTTAAACATGGGGATGTATATCCACATGAAGAGAATGGAAACAAGTTTAATCTTAACCCCATTCCTTTTGGCAAGTAATAGAAATACAGCATACAAATGGACCAATTCTCTCTCAGTGTATTTTATCAAGTCTTTGAAGACACCATAACAGTTTTATAATGAACTCTGCTGCAATCTGTTAAAGAATCTTCAAATTAAATTACAGGGATGTTTGGTTTTTAACTCAAACACAGTAAAATGGGGATTGTACTAATAATCCCCTCATGAACTATAAGGATTAATATGCTCACGTAAGATCAATGCAGCTATTTCCCTGTCACTGAGATAATAGTGTTAAATATGGTGTCTTCAGCTGCTTATAAAAAAGGGTTAAGTACAAGAAAAAACTTTCATCCTGAATTACAGTCACTAAAACAAATGAAAAAAAATTAAACCAAAACTTGTGAATGGTTTTCTATGATTTGTCACTGAACATAAACATACATATGCTCAAAGCGCTTTTTAAAAACTTTTAAGTTGTGATTTAACCAGAACTTCTGAAATATCCACAAGAAATTAGGTAAAATTCTAACGTTCTGGAAATCAACATATTAGGAAACAACAGATATTAAATCTGAAACTTAGGAAATTAAATACACAAAATAAAAGGACTATTTTCAAGTAAGGGCATAAGAATAGGAGTTGCTAAGAAACTATGAGCACTGAAGCTTTTCCTTGGAAACATCTTAAACTTACAGGGAAGACAAGGTGGGCAAAATATGCAGAGCTACAAAACAAAGCAATGACAAGTTACAGCAGAAGAGGGAATGCATTCTGTAATCCACAGGATCAGATAAGTGGCTCTAAGCAGTTACCAGTAAGTATTTTAGTGTTCTTCCTATTATATTGAGTTAACAGCAGTTTTACAAGTTAAGAGTTGACACAAGCAAATTAGAAGAACTCTAAAATTAGCCTTCCGTAATTGGGTAAGATTTACCATATCCATCTGAACAAACCCATTTCCCCATCCTGAGATCTAAAAGAATGTGAATATTGACCCATTTTAATACTTTTCAAGTTCAGATGGAAGTCATACTGTACACCAGTCTTTGATTTTAGGAAACAGCACAAAGCAAACTCCTAAAATCAACAACTCACTTAGAAAAGAAAGGAGGGAGAGGGTTCTGGGAATTAATCCAGCCACAAGTCATTCCAATCTTCCTGTTAATGCAAAATCCATTTGTAAAAATGGCCAAATAGTAACTACCAAAAACCTCAAAAATTAATGTTTCAATTTCAAATTAAAGAATTTCAAGAGTTTTCAAAGAATCTAGTATCAAGATCGGCCTTTACCAGTTCACATTTGTTCCATATTTTGCATTAAACAATAGGTTTAATGATTATTTCATTATGGCATATACATCAGAACCTAATCTTTCAGAAGGGCTCACTGACAATCCAACTGCTTTTAGGAATTTATCAGTTATCTACAGGGTACACCTGACTGGCAGTTAGAGCCAGGTCATACTGCAATTTTAAATATTCCAACTCAAACACAGGAAATGATCAGAGGGGTACAATGACACATAACCGCAATATACTAAGGCAGCAGATAAGTCATTTTTCACCTAGAGAATCAGCTGCCCATAAAATCATATGCACAATTTTAATGAATGAGTCTGCTCTAGTTTAAGGAACCTGCCACTGAGCTGAGAGAGGGATATAAGAATTGCACTTGCAATTCTAGCTGATGAATTCATTAGATTTTTATAAGGCAAATAATGTGGAAAGTTAGAACAGAATTTCTAAAAACATTTATCCTGTGATGTCGTAAATCAAAGTACTATTTTATTAAATGAGTTATTTTACACAATATGAACATCAATATAATTACAGTTGTAAAAAAATTTTTTATAACAAGAATGGACTGATTTTCAGATTTCCAAATCAGAGTCAACTGTACATTTACACAGAATTGTCTTTGCATGAAGCCCAAAAGGGAACAGCATAAAAATGAGTGTTTCTGTAGCCCCTTTATTTTTGCTGATCAACAGTTTGTTAGAAAAGCAGCTGCAGGTATGTTACCTAAGGTCTGAGACAGTAGAAGAGTCAAAGGTGTCGTGAATCCACCTATAAAACATAAGCAAAATTTTCAATGAATGTTACCATTGCATAAATGCAACTTATATGCATTTCAAATAACTAAGAAGAAGCACTATGAAGATAGTATCTGGTAAACTTGTCAACCGGACTTTATATTTTAACTTTGATGAATTTATTTTAAAAAGAAATAATTCTCAAACACACAACACACCCACCACCAACTCCACTATTTAGGGGGAAAAAATCCAACCAAATGTAATGTGTAAAGTGGTAACTTTCAACCAACAAATTTATAAACAAATTTATATAGCACATATCTACATTTTGCCCTATATTTTAATACTCAGAAGCTCTGCTAAGGGGATAGGTTGATGGGGGGGGGAAAAGAAGAACCTCTGCTAAGTACTATAAGTAAACTAATTGTAAAGAGGTGCTCACGAACATTGGTCTACATTGTTTTTGAGAGGGAAACTCTCAAATATCTTTGTAATCACTATTTTCCTTAAACTGATACGTTTCTTCCATTCTTGGATCAGAGATGGCTAGCATGTACTCATCTCCCCATTTTTGGCTACAGTAGTAAAAATATGGATGTTTCAAAGGCAATGAAAGGAAACAGTCTGAGAAAAAAGGGACTAAGTTACACATTAACTTAAAAAGGGGAAGCAATAAAATCTCAGAAGGCAGAAATTAATTTCACAATAACAGAAGACACTTTTGGTCTTGTATACAACCCTGATATTAACAAACCAATAGAAAAAAAGGTGAGTTACCTGTAAACAACCTTATGCCTGAACATCAGCTAATTCTGGAGGAAGTGGAGTCTTAGGATGCTTGCTCTCAAAGTGCTGCTTGAAGGTCTTAGGGTCTGGCATTTGTGTCTAACAAAAAAATCGTGCAAGAGAGAGCTAGACTTTATTTATGAAATAAAAATGTGTTACTTTTTAGAATCCTGAACCTTCTCAGGATAGACAATTATCACAAAAATACCTTTAAATTCCTACAACTTAGTGGCTGGCATATGAAGAGGGACTTTGTGGTAAAGAAATTCCTAACATTCCCACATTTCACATATAAAGAAAGGTAGGTCACATAGAATGTATTCTGCTTATCTGATTAACAGCAAACAATAGGTAACATTTACTGAACCCTTATTATGTTAAGCATGTTACCTTAATTACTACAGAACCTTCAAAGTAATCTTCAGCACCTACTAGCATCCTCATTTTACCTGATAAGGAAACTAACACCCAGTTTAATTTGCCCAAGACCTTATTTTAACTTAGTACTAGGTATGTGACCTCTCAGATACTATACTATACTGACTTCCCTTGGCAAGAACCTTCAATTATTTATTCTTAACCCATTCAATTACACAAAATATGAAATAGAAGTCTGTGGTTTTGAGTTTTTAAGTGTGTGAACTACTCTAGCACATTTAGATTAAGGCATTTCTTCATCATTAGTTGATTAAAATTTGCACCCTGCCTCTTTCCAAACTATCAGAAGTTGCTCAATTTCATTATTTTGAGTGTATATGTAGTGGACTAACCCCACTGTGGTTTCCTTTGGTACTGCCATTCACTAACTTCAAGGGTAATGAGCTTAAACAAACAGGCAAGAGGTTCTGATTTGGAGCTTCAGAAGTACTTCTTTGAGAAGCAGTACAGTAGTGGTCCAGAGGGTGGACTTTGGAGCTGAACTGCCTGAGTTCAGATTCCAGCTCTTCTACTAACCAGCTGGGAGACCCCACACAAATTGTTTAATTTCCATGAGTCAGTTTACTCTTCTGTAAAATGAGAACAATAAAAGTACTTTATCTTACAGGGTTAGGTGGATTAAATAGGTGAATACACGTAAAACACCTGGCTCTATGTCTGGCATATGGTAAGCACTCAAAAGTAGCTGTTATTATTACTGTTCTTCAAATCTAATAAAACACATTAATTCTAGGAAAAGCTCTCAACATGAATATACTCTATATGGTTTTACAGACATCCTAATTATAAAATTTAGTGAAGAAAAAGAAAAAAGCCAATTATATAGCCAGAGGTATATTTACTAGCATATTATATAGCTCTAAGAGTATAGTTTAGAGTTATATGATATGCTAGTGAAGTGTTTCATATGCCCTTATGAAGACATCTTTATTTTATATGAGGAAAGGGATTTTGTCTTGTTCACTCCTTTTTCCCAGGACCTAGAGATTTTTGCCTGGCCATAGGAGCCATTCAAAAAATGTTTGTTGAAAGGGTGAATGAAGATAGATACCTAAAATAATCAGCTCTCAAACCTACTATTTCAAGTAAAGCATCTATTTTTGTCATTTCAAAATTTTAATCTATACAAACCAATTTATAATGAAAGAACTGCTCACAGGAGAGCTGTATCTTTCGATTCAATTCCCCTTACCCTACAGACAGTGCAGGTATATATTAAGGCAGCTTTGGCAGCAGCCTTTTGGTCATGTCCTTGTTTCTTCTTTTGTCCAGCTTGCTTTTTGGCATTTTTCTGCTGAGACTGAATTTTCTGCTGTCCACGAGCCATATCTAAAAACAGAAGGTGAAGCATTAGAGTGGCTTATTTACTCTAATACAGAGTAATCTAAGCATAAGAACGTTCTTAGAACTGAAGCCTTAAGTTTTATAGAAACATCTGGCAAATAAAAATGTATAGGTATTAAAATTCCCACACACAAACGCTACAAAAGTATCAACTGGCAGAACCCTGTGGAAAACTAGTTGGTAGTTGTTTATTCTATGAGCCAGCAATTCCACTCTTGGTATGTACTCAACAGAAATGCAAATGTTATGTACACCAAGACATGTACAAAATGTTCTGAGTGCCCATTCCAAAACTGGAAAAAATCTGAATGCCCATCAACAGTAATATGGATGCACAACTTGTATACATATTTTTATAGTATTTATACAACGGAATACTACCCAGCATTTAAAAAATTGTGGCCAGCTGGGCGCGGTGGCTCACGCCTGTAATCCCAGCACTTTCGGAGGTTCAGGCGGGCGGATCACGAGGTTAGGAGATCGAGACCATCTTGGCTAACACGGTGAAACCCTGTCTCTACGAAAACTTCAAAAAAAAATTAGCCGGGCGCGGTAGTGGGCGCCTGTAGTCCCAGCTACTCGGGAAGCTGAGGCAGGAGAATGGTGTGAACCCGGGAAGTGGAGCTTGCAGTGAGCCGAGATCACGCCACTGCACTCCAGCCCGGGCTACAGAGCGAGACTCTGTCTCAAAAAGGAAAAAAAAAATTGTGGCTAGGTGTGGTGGCTCACACCTGTAATCCCCGCAATTTGGAAGGCCAAGGTGGGTAGATCGTGAGGTCAGGAGTTCAAGATCAGCCTGGCCAAGATGGTAAAACCCCATCTCTACTAAAAATACAAAAAATAAAATAAATAAATAAATAAATAAATAAGCCAGATATGGTGGCGAGCGCCTGTAATTCCAGCTACTTGGGAGGCTGAGGTCTCCGGAGAACTGTTTGAATCTGGGAGGCGGAGGTTGCAGTGAGGCGTGATGACACTACTGCACTCCAGCCTGGGCGACAGAGGGAGACTCTGGTCTCAAAAATAAACAAACAAAAACAAACTGGTTGTATCTCAATGTTAAAGGAAAGAAGCCAGTTGTAGGGAATATACATTATTTAAAGATCAAAACAGGCAAAGCTAATCTACAGTGAAAGGGGTCACCTTGGAAGTTATGGGTAATGACTGGGAAGACAGGACATGAAGGGGACTTAGGGGGTTCTGAAAATGTTCTTGAATCAAGTGTGCTTACTTGTAAAAATTCATTGAACTGTACACTTAACATTTATGCACTTTACTGTCTGTAATCTTCAAAAGTTTACGAAAAAAGTTTAGCCCCCGCCATCATTTTACTTGATCACTCTGCAAAGTATTCATTGTGACTTGTGATTGTGATTTTTATAACTTTAAGAGAAATAAAAGCTGTCTGTTAATCCTTCTAAAGGAGACCTCAGAAATAGGTGGAAACTGTTCTCTTACTTAGTTTTCATAAAACTACTGTTATTAATTTTTTTAAAAAGTTGGTCTTGCTGGATTGCTGCACAAATTATAAAATGAGATTATCAGCCAGCCACTAATCCCAGAAGTTTCTTTGCTCTCTAGACGTCAGTTCCCAGTTGAGGGAATGAACTTGGTTAAGAGGGTTCTTTTACAAAGCTGAAAGACACCACTTTTTGTACCAATGATCTGACGTGAACCCAAATGGATTAAAAAAAAAAAAAATGAAGTCACTAAAAAAAGTTACTTTTACTTTTCCATTTAAATTAAGGGCTTTTATTCGATCACACAAGTTAAACCTGTTCATAAAGAGTCTATCATGAGTCTCAATTGCTTTTTAAAGATATCAAAATTGGATCCTAAGTAGAATTCATATATATATATATATATATATATATATATAGTTTTGACTAGCACTGTAACTGAATGTAAATCATTGCAGGACAGGAACATACAATGGATTTGTATCAACTTCACCAGAGAAGGATGATGCTAGCTTCTTCTGACTAGGACCGTAATTAGTTAATGGATATGAGGTCAAAGCATTTCATAAGAATTACTGAGCTCCTCCTGTTCCCCAAAAAAGGAAACTAAAAAAATACACTGATTGGAGAAGTTCCCACTAGCATTAAAAAAAAATGAACTGAAAGTCAGATAAAATATAAAAGAGGGTCAATGTTTTTCAGGATAGTCAACTGAATATTTCAACTGACGAAATATGGGTTTTTTATACTAAGCTAGCATACGAGCCTAATACATTTTTGTAACTGAAAATGTTTAGCATGCCAGTCTAATATGAGAACCCCACTCCCATCAAACAATGGTAAATATTACCAGCTGTTATCAGTCCTTGAAGACTAAGCTTCCATTTTTGCTTTAGATAAAAAAAAACAAAAACAAATTCTTATTAATTCTAAGCTAAAAGGCACATTAAAAAAAAAAATGTATTTAAGTCCGATGTTACCGCAAGCTTACAAACCTATCCCCACGGAAACAAGTTTGGATACTTATGTATTATTTGGACGACAGTAGTCACGTGATCAACCTTTATGTATACCAATGTTTTGTAAGATTTTTTGTCTCAATGTCTTACTATCAGGACCTTGTAACAAAATAGTCAGTCCTCTCACACATCTTAACTCTTCGACACAATGTATTTTCTGTATGTTAATACACTGATTTTGTGGGAAACCTTGTTTTACGTTGAAAAAAAAAATCTTCAAAAATGGTAAGCCACTAATTTCAGAAGTTTCTTTGCTTTCTAGAAATTACTATCTATTTTGATATTTCCATGTAGTGACTCGTACAAAGCAATGTCATTAGATACGCAAAATTATTTTTAACTTTTGCACTTAGGATTTTCCCTAAAATATAACATTACACAATAGATTTAACCCATTTTCCATTGTCACCAAACAGCAACCAAAAAGCCCGAAGAGACTTAATAAATAAAACCAGGTAAAGGAAATGGAATCAAATAGACTAAATGCATGAGGTAGGCCCCTAACTTCTGACAACACGCCGCATCGATTTCCTTTCTGAAAGCAGAAATTCAAACGAACCAACCACCTGCTTTTGGACAGCTCAACTCAGGACTTGCTCTCAAGCCAACAGAATTTTCTACAAAATCGTAGGCAGCTATAACCGCTCCTTGAATTAAATGGGACAAACTGGAGGGAAAAAGTCATTTACAAATACCTACATGTTGGTTTTTAATGCAACTCTCAGTGTGGTTTTCCGAGGGGGCTGCAAAGATGGAAGTAGTAGAAGAAACGAGTTCTAAAATGAGGCGCTCTCGTAGGAGGCAACAAGTAAGCACTGCCCCAAAGCTCCTTTTAAAACCAACACAAATGAGTAACAGAAGAAAAGGATTTTGGGTCCAGGAAGTAGGCTCATTCTCCATAACCATCTGAAAGGAAGAGGCCCAGGCAGCGCTCCACATCCTGACCCTAGCTTTTAACACCATCGTTTTGGGGAGAGGAGAGGAGGAACGCACCCAGAGTGAGGTCTCCACCCAACACTTCTCCGACCCCAGCTGCAGCCTGGCGCACCTTCCTCCCCAAACCCGCCTCTCCCACCTTGGAGACCCCTTCCTCCTCCCTGCCACCAAAGGCCACGCACCCCCATCTAGCCAGTTCTCACGGACCCTGGTACGAGACGCGCCTCCCGGAGGCCGAGACTGCCCGAACCCCGGCCCCTGCGGCCACCGGGAGCGCCACACTCCGGCAGCCGACCGGCGGCTGTCGCCGGGGATAAGGTTACCGCTCCGCTTCCGCGGCTGGCCTGCTACCCGGCCACCTGCAGGGCCTGGCAGGCGCCCGAACTCACCCTCCTTCCCGCGGTCCGCGCCGGGCCGGGCCCCGCCGCCCCCCGCGACCCCTTGCGACTCGCGGCAAGTCCCACGGTCCCCACCGCCCCCCGCTGGCCGGCCCCCGCCCCGTTTCCCGGGCGTCCCGCGGCGTCAGCACCGCCCCCGCTGCCGCTCACCCGGGCCGGGACAGTCTTGCGTCGGAGAGACCGCACAGCGCGAGAGGGCCGGGAGAGGACGCCGGAGGGACAGGAAGGGGGAGCGCGCCCAGCACCGCCTGGGCCTCCTCCACCCGCTCAGGAGGGGAAACAGGAGAGCCGGGAGCACAACAGCCCGCGCCTCGCACGCTCGCCACCGCCGCGCGCCCGCCGCCGCCTCAGCCTTAGGGGAGGCCACTACGCCTCGTGCCCGCGCACGCCGTGCCGCTCTCCCCGGCGCCCCCGCCCCGCCTGCTCCTCGCAGCCCCGCCCACTTGCCGTCCTGCGGCGGCCTCCTCCTGGCCCCCCACCCCTCTCGCACGCCTGCGCCCTGGCCGGTCGCGCGGGCCAATGGCAGCGCGCCCCTATTACATAAGCGCGAGGGGCGGGCCCTGGTGGACACTAACTTCAGGGGACGTCGTCCTCTGTCCCCAGGCGCTCTACCCCTCCGGCGCGCTCTGTCCCGGCGGCTTCTTCACCCAGCCCTGGGAGTCACGTGATCCCGGTTGGCTGGTGACCGGGCCGCGGAGTGTTTCACAAGTCGCTCGCTCGGTCGCTCATCCACTCGGGCGGCGGCCGGGCCTCAGGCCCTGCGCCCCTTTTCCAGCTCCTCCCTGGCTGACGCGCCGGTCTCGGCGTCGCCCTCGTCGGCACCGGCTGAGGCGGTGGCTCGGGAGAGGATCGCGGGGCCGCGGTGGCTGAGTCACATTCCGGGAGCTCCGCCACCCAGGACACCGCGGCCCCGGCCCCCAGCGAGCCCGGCGGCCCAGCGGCTCTGAACGCGGACGCACAGCCTTTGTTGTTTCACCAGCCGCCGTTTACCTCACTCCCATGGAAACCCCGGGTGTTTTTCCAAGCTGAGGGGTTTTAGTGAGTTCAAGATTCAAGCCTGAGCCCCATTAAAAATTGCTGGCTGGGCCGGGCGCGGTGGCTCACGCCTGTAATCCCAGCGCTTTGGGAGCCCAAAGTAGGAGGATCACTTAAGCCCAGGAGTTCCAGACCAGCCTGAGTAACATAGCGAGACCCACGTCTCAACAAAAATAAAATAAAAAATTAACGGAGCATGGTGGCCAGCGCCTGTAGTCCCAGCAACTCGGGAGGCTAAGGTGGGAGAATCGCTTGAGCCCAGGAAGTGGAGGTTGCAGTAAGCCGAGATCGCGTCACTGCACTCCATCCTGGGCGACTGAGTGAGACCCTGCCTGAAAAAAAAAGAAAAAGAAAAATTGCTGGCTAGGCTTCCCTGAGGGGTTTAGTTTGACTGCTAACAATGTACAGTACTGAGTTGCTAATACTTTGGGGAATGGTTAAAGTTCTTTGGGCGCGCTCTGTCTCTCTCTGCATTTACAGGCAATGGCAGCAAACTGTCAATATCTGACTACATAAATGACGATTATAACCGTGATTAAATTTGCTGATTATCTGGAAACAGTACTTTAGACATCAGCCTTATTCTGCATACTTACCCCCCCCCCGCCACATTAGTTTCTAATTAGAACTACTAGTGACAAAAAAAAAAAAAGCGTTTGCATTGGCTGTTCTCACCTTGCCTGTAGTGCTGTTTCCCAAGTTTGCCTGTCAGTGCCCAGGAAATGTTAGTTGAATATTAATATATCCCAAATGACTTGGACTGGACTACAGATATCACAGAATTGTTTAAACTAGCCAGGAAGGAGTTAGCTGCCTATTGCGTTTGAGTGGAGAAAAATGAAATGAAACATGGCATGCAGTTATCTGGGTGTTCAGTTCTCCCTCTTCGTCCTCATTTCAGCTTCTCTCACCTTCACTTTTTATGCTCTTCCTTCCTTCTTACAGTTTTAAATTACTCTCTAGTCCTAGATTGTAAGATTATTTTCATCACCGAATACGCAGTGTGTTAAACAGTAGACATTGAGTAAATGGATACTGATCAAATGAACCGAGTGTATCTGAAGAGAGCAGCTTTTAAATTGACATATCATGAAGCTCTGGCTTAGTCACTAATAGTCACTATAACCGTAATGGTTGTATTAATCTGGTTGACAGAAGGATGAGATACTTGTTGGCCCTGGAAATGGGAACTTCAAAGATCTGTGTTTGTCTAGCCATGAGTGACAGTAGACAGTGGAAAGGGACAGTGAAATTTGTGTGGCAGAGATATGTCTTCTTAACTAAAGAGGTGACTCCTATTGTGAAGTAGGTTAATATGTCACTCTTTACCATGGCCTAGATGAAATATGTATTCAAGCCAGTGTTTCTTAAGTTTTTGAGTCATAACTCCTTTGAGAATTTGGTGAAAGCTATTGAATTTGCCTCCAGAAAGTTCATGTACTTACCATGTAACTTATCCTCATAGGTAGTGTTTCTTAATCTCAGCACCGTTGAAATTTGGGCTGGATGATTCTTTATTATGGGACTCTGTCCTGGCGATTGTAGGATGTTTAGCAACATCCCTGTCTCCTACCCGCTTATCCAAGTAGCACCTCACCTCCGGTTGTGACAACTAAAAATGTCTCCAGACATTGTCAAATGTTCTCGGGGTCAAAGTCTCCCCTGATTGAGAACTACTGCCTAGAAGATATGGCATATTGGTAACTTTATGTGATGGTTAGGGAATTCGAAATACAAGGAAAAAAATGAAAAAAACAAAAAAAAAACAAGGAATGGATAAGATTCAACATCTGTGAAGTGACACACAGTAAATGAAAGGCGGATGAATTAGCATTACTACCAGCTGGTGTCCTACTTATGTTATAGAAATGTGACAGCAAATGTGATATGAACTCCTTAGAAGCATTTTTATACACATTTCTGGCTTTGATTGTGAATGCTACAGTAACTCTCCTGTTTTTCTTCTTCTGCCTTTAGACAGTTACCCAAGGTTAAGATGCAATAAACATGTACCTGTTTTCTATCCAAAATCACAATCAGATTAAAATGCTTCTCTAAAGACCTCAAAAGCTTATTTGTTTATTTGTATTCATGTAGGGTTTGGGGGGATGAAAGAATTGGTTGATTAATCAACATATTATTTTCCCAATAAACAGATTATTCTGACAAATGTGTAGTGGCAAATAATAGCAACAGCAATAATGACAACAATAAACTCACAACAGAAATGGATTTATTTTTGTTTATTTATTTTTTACTCGCTCTTTCTCTTCCATTCACTTCTGCTTGTTGAGATTTCTCACACGTGCAACCTGGATCGTCTTGTCTTCTTTATATTCTTTCCCCAAAGGAATCTCATTCACTGTTGTGGCTTTAAATAGCAAGCTTCAGGTGACCCCTACATTTCTATCTCCAAATTGACATATCCAAATGCCTACTACTCATCTCCCCTCTGATGTCTTATAGACATTCACATTTAATACCATATTGTATTGAGTCTAAGGAGCCATTAATTGTAAGTCACATTTATGTCCATAAGATTAAAAAATACCACCAACTGAACTATGACAAAATGCTGACATCCTTGATTCTAAGATACATCTTGATTTCAGAGACTTTAAAAATAGACTTTAAAAAATGTGATTTACTAGAATAGCACCAAAAAGAATAAAATACTTAGGAATAAACTTACCAAGAGAAGTGCAAAACTTGTATTCTAAACTCTAAATAACATTGTTGAAAGAAATTAAAGAAGGCCTAAATAAATGGAAAGGTATCTTATGTTCATGGATCAAAAGACTTTGTAAAGGTGGCAGTAATTCCCAAGTTGATCCACAGATTTTGGTGCAACCCCTATCAGAATCCCACCTGGTATCTTTACATAAGCTTATTCTAAAATTTATATGGAAATTCAAGGAGCCCAGAATAACCAAAACAACATAGAAAAAAGAACAAAATTGGAAGATTCACATTTCCCAATTTAAAAACTTATTACAAAGCTACAGTAATTAAAACAGTGTGGTACTGGAATTAGATTAGACATATAAATCAATGGGATAGGATTGAGAGTCTGAAAATAAACCTTCATATGTATAGTCAATTGATTTTCAACACAGGCACCAAACAAATTCAATGGGGTAAGGTGTAGTCTTTTCAGCAAATAGTACTGGGATAGCTAGATATCCACATGTAAAAGAATAAAGTTGAATCCTATCCTCATACCATATACAAAAATTAACTCAAAATGGATCAAAGACCTAAATGTAAGTGCTAAAACATAAAAATCCTAGGAGAAAATATAGGAGTAAATATGCATGACCATGGGTTAAAAAAGCCTTCTTTTTTTTTTGAGACAGAGCCTTGCTCTTTCACCAGGCTGGAGTGCAGTGGCACGATCTTGACTCACTGCAACCTCCACCTCCCGGGTTCGAGAGATTCCCCTGCCTCAGCCTCCCAAGTAGCTGGGACTACAGGCACATGCCACCATGCCCAGCTAATTTTTGTATTTTTAGTAGAGACAGTGTTTCGTCATGTTAGCCAGGATGGTCTCGATCTCTTGACCTCATGATTCACCTCGGGTGATCCACTTGTCTCAGCTTCCCAAAGTGCTGGGATTACAGGCGTGAGCCACTGCACCAGGCCAAAAAAGCCTTTTTAAGCTATGACACCAAAAGCATTAGTGACAAAAGAAAAAAAAAGAAAGATAAATTGAACTTCATCAAAATTAAGATACTTTGTGCTTCAAAAGATGCCATTAAAAAAAAAGACCACCTACAGGACAGGAGAATATATTTGCAAATTATATATCTGATAAATGACTTTTATCTAGAATATGTAAAGAATGCTTACAACTTCATACTAAGAAAGGAAATACCCAATTAAAAAATGGGTGACAGATCTGATTAGATACTTCTCCAAACAAGATATCCAAATGGCTAATAAGCACATGAAAAAATGCTCACCATTCTTAGTCATCAAAGAAATGCAAATCAAAATATGAGATAGTATTATACTTCTCTAGGCAACCTAGAGAAGCCTAAAGACCAGCCAGTATAGTTTTTGCTGAAGAAATTTCAAGTAAATGAAATTTATAGAATACCTCATGAGTATGAATTTATGGAGAGCTTTTATAACTTGGATCGAATTTGTAATAAGGACATTTAGAAAAGCAAAGAATAAGCAAAACAATTAACAGCTACTGGGAAGATTAAACATTGTGAAAGAAATACAAGTTAATGATAGTGTATTACATGGCTGAGCAGTGACTAGCATTTACATAATGATATAAATATGAATCAAACCACAGTTCTAAATGCCAATATAACTTTATTGGGAGGATACGGAAATGAGAGGTTTGTATGTGTGGTAGGGACAAGTAGTGGGGGTTGGTGAAGTGAAAGAGAGCTAAATTCTCTCTGCCACAGTGGAAAGTCCGTAGGTAAATGCCTAAGACTGGGGAAAATTTCAAGAAATAGTAGTATAAGAATGTTATTTAGAAGTATGTAGATAAATATCAAAAGACTTAAGTAAAAGTAATTTTAAGTAGCTGTTGCTGAGAAGAGGGAATTTGGCAGGTAGCAAACTCTGTTTTTCATAACTAGTGCTATAGGACTAGTTGAATTTTTAAACTGTGTGCATTTTTACTGTGATAACACAAACTAAATTAAACAAAACGATATTTTATTTCTAATAATCTTCTAACCATTTTTGTTTCTAGGCAATACGTATGACTTCACAGCCTCTGTACTTCAGAAAGGTGGATGATTAAGTCCAGGTATTATAATAAGTGCAGGTATTGTTAGCACGCTTGGCATCTCCTTGCAATTAGAGTCTCTACTTTTCATTCCAGGTAAGGACATGCCTTTATGTTTAACTATTCAATTTTTCTAGTTCTCTACATACCATTCTAATAGTTAGGCACTCAGGCAGCTGAACAAACTAGGGAGGAGAGCATCCAAAGTAAATGTGCCCATCCTTTCTGTCTTTCCATGATTACTCTTGAGCAGGGGGCAAAAACAAACATGCAAATCAAGAATGGAGTGATTCATTCTTCTTCGGGGGTAGGAATTCATACAGGTGTCTTTTGGGTGACACCTGTGTCTTGATCTTAAGCATAGTGCTCTCTTGATTTGATGGATGGCTTTGATTTTGACTGAAATC